AATCGGTTTTCGTCGCGCTGTGATGACGTCACATACGCGCTTTCGTCGAGCGCGCTTTAGTCTACCGCGGTTTTGTGGTGGAACCCTCAAAACAGAATAGGACATCTCCCTGCAGCCAATTTTTGCTGGGGCAAACTCGCTTCAGGACGATTCAACAAATACAAAACTTTACATGGATTTTGATGGATCTGTGACCAATAATAACAACAGAAAGAAGCTACTCCATAAATAAAAGAGTTACAATAATTTCGACCAAAACGTGATCACCGATAATAAAAAACATACCCAAACGAAACGTTTAAATACAGCATTGAATTGTCCTGCAGCGAATTGGGCCTGGAAAGTTGTCCTAAACCCATCTGAAAATAAAATCCTAATTTTGGGGTGTAAACAGAGGTGGGTTGTTCCCAGTTTGGCCTGGATCGGGCGAACCAGTAGCAGCGGTGGCAGAAGGCTCCGCCCACCCACCCGGATGCTTTCACACATGTGTGTAAGTGTGCATAGGAGCGCGCCCGAACCAGTAGTAAAAATATTGACAACACACTATTGGGTGTAACCATATGCTGGCTCTATATACGGAGAAACCCCAGGGAGTGGAAAACTAGAGAGTGTTTGGCTAAAACCCAACAATAACCGTAATAACATTACGGAGCTCCAGTTTTCTGGATCCTCTTATATTTCTTGCTCGTTTTCACGCTCAAAGCTTTAACTCAAGCTAGTTTTAAGCTCAGTGAAGAAGCTGGTCCCTATTATTCTTTTTTGAAGCATCCATTTGAAGAGTAAAGAGCTTGTTTTTCGATGGTCCTTGGAGGCAGGTTGGGTTGAAGGAGAGTTACTAGACCAAAACTACCCTGCTGGTTTTCAAGGCTGTACTTGAAAATAAATAACAGGACTGGATCCTGGATTCAAATCACCAACTATTTCCTGCCTTCAGGTTCAGAATGAACGTCTTTCAGCTCTTTGGGCTGAAAGAATCATTGTCACACAGGGCAGAGCAGGGGGGAAAAATAAACAAAATAGAAGGGACAAAGTCTCATCCTTCCTTGGACGCAGATTAACCCGAAATCAACCATTCCAAGGAAAGAGAGAGATAAGAGACTAGAACCATACACATGATGAAGGTGGCAAATGAATTTGAGGTTGCTTCTCCTTCCTTCTAAAGCCAGCTGTCTTCAGTTAGCCAGGGGAGAAAAGACATCAAAAGACATTTGTCAAAAGTCATTTATTTAGGTATCTTGGTACCCAGCTGCTTTGAAACTCATCGAATTTGGCATTCAATGCATCTCAATGAGAAAATTTCGTCCCCGGTACTTGTTATTTGTTTAGTACTAAACACACAAGCTAGAATTTGTCAGTGCCGGTTGCCCTTTCACACAGTAGCTCTTGCCCTGTGCACATCCCCTTGCTGTCTTATACTAGCTTTTGTGGTCATTTTTGTGTACTTTTGAGCTTTTTCCTCCCCACATCAGTACAGGCAATTTTTAACACTTTTTAAAATCCAAGCTTGTCTTAATTTTTAGGTTTATTTCTCATGTAAAGTAATGATATCCGACTATCTTTTTACAGATTGCCTTCAAAACGTGCATTGTCTTTGGTTTGGGAATTCATAAAAATTATTTATATTATTCCTTATGGGAAAAATGTGTTTAGTACTCATCGTTTTTGCTACACCTCCCGGAATCAACTAATGATGAGGACTAAGGTACCACTGTGTCTTCTATTGAGAGTCTATTAAAAGTCTATTAGCCAGTTGTGTCCAACTCATCATCATTTTTTGACCGAGGGACTCAGTGTTGTCAAAAGACATTTTCTGTGGTCATGGGGCCAGAATAGCTATTCCCCAAAGGCACATGGAACACTGTTACTGTTAATTAGTGGTACCTAATTATCTACTTGCAGTTGTTTTCAAACTGCTAGATGGGCCGGAACTGGAGCAAGTAATGGGAGCTCACCCTGTCTCATGGTGCTCGGGTCTCGGACCCAAGTTATCAGCATTCCAGTTGATGAGCTCAGTGTCTTTAACCACTGAGCCATCACCACCACCCCGAGGGTCTATTAAAAGGGGCCAACTGATGGTGAGCCATTAGAGTGGTGCAGTGGCCTAAAGGTGGAGCTCTCNGGGGGGGGGCGCTTGTCAACCCTGAAGCTGACCTGACCGAAAGCATCTTGGACGCTTTAGGGTTGCCAGACTGGAGCTGAGGGATAGAGAGGGGGGGATTTTAGATAGCTGGGACTTTGTGGCCAAAAAAAAAAAATACTTTCTCTTGGGAATCAAGGATATTCTCACATCTGGGCGGAGGAAGGTGGAGTGATGTCACCAGGCAACCAGACAGTGCTGTGATTGGACCATGTGACTAATTATTTTGAGAAAGTGATGAACTTTTACTTAGGTGAAAACCACGGGAAACTTCATGTATGTATGTATGTATGTATGTATGTATGTATGTATGTATGTATGTATGTATGTATGTATGAATGTAGGTATGAATGTATGTATGACCAACCAAGCATCTATAGCAACTCAAGAGTTATTGGAATATTTATCAGAGAGATTCTGAGCATTTCGGTTTTAGGGTTATCATCATTGCTGTCTGTTCTTTGGATGCATAATAGGTACTTCAGTAATATAATTACATCATTGCTAGGGCTTCATTCTTTTTTTTCTTTTTTTTTAAAGAACCCTCAGTTTTTTTTTTAGTATAGATAAAAACATCCATTAGGGCAAGGAAGACTTTGAAGTTTAAATTACCGAGGCTGATTGTGGGGACATTAATTTGGAGCATTATGAGAAAAATAAAAGGTGAGGGGCTTAATCTATTCTGTCCTGGTGGCGCAGTGGTTAGAATACAGTTTTGCAGGCTAACTCTGCCCACTATCTGGAGTTTGGTCTTGAAGGGCTCAAGGTCGACTCGTCCTTCCATCCTTCCGAGATCGGTAAAATGAGTCTCCAGATGTTTGCAAGCAATATGCTGATTCTGTAAACTGCTTATTGCGGTAAAACACTATGAAGCGGTATATAAGTCTAAGTGCTTTTGCTGTTGCTGTGCTCAGACATATCTAAACATGATGCATGATTCAGCCATATTTGACTGGGTTCATGAACAATGATCAGCATAATAGAATATTTTAGAGGTACACTTGAACTGGAGAGTAAGACATATTACACTGAAGCACAAATTGTTTTTTTTACCGCATTTTAGGCAAAATAGACCTGAGGATGGAAGAAGTTACTGTCCCACCTATAGACTTATGCAAATTGGAATAAGCAAAGGAATGCAACTGATATTTTATTGGACATAATCCATCATGTGGCTAGAGAGGCCATTATGGTGTATCTATGAGCGATGGGGCAGGATTATAAAGACCACAGGTTTTTGGCATAAACAAAGACGTAGTAATTTCATGAACATAACTCCTAAGAAATTACTTTCTTTTGTTTTCCAGAGCTATGCTGGTCTTTTCCCCAGCAACTGACCAGTTCTTTGTTTCCCCTGGAAAGATAACTTTCAGTTAGGACCATGATGGTGAACCTATGGAATGTGTGCCACATGTGGCACATGAACCTTTGCTCAGCTCCACCAGACATCCACGCAGGGACGCATGCCTCCTGCTGGCCTGCTGATTGTTGGGTCTCTGCCCGAAAAGCATGCATGGGGGGAGGGATACATGAATGAGAGGCTCGTGCATGTGTGGGGGTGGGTCACTCATGCATGTGCAGGATTGAGGGAGCATGAAGGGTTCAGTGCACACACACCCCCCCCCGGGCTCCATTTTTGGTCCCGGAGGCTTCA